ATGTGTATATTTTTAACATTATTTAGTTAAGTAATTAAATCACACATTAAAAATGTTCCACTGTATATAAATTGCTCTAATAAGTTGAGTTCATTTCATTTACGATGGGAACTTCTTCATTTCACCCATGCAAGCCTTTAGTGCTAAAGTAAACTCGATTATCAATATATATAGTATTGTAATCAAAACTTAAAACGATAGTTGAAAATACTAAATACGGGCAAATTAAATACCATAACAAATCAATTCATAAAAAAGCAACAGAAACAAGGATTTTAAAAATTTAGTCAATTGATTTATATACAATATTAGATAATACTTAACAAAGTGTATGTTATGTAAACGACATCATACACAAACACTAACTGAGGTAGATGGTTGTTTGGTTATAGTCGCATGTTACTGGATGTTGTTCTACTTCCCACAGTTATTTCCTGATTTACTACAATATTCGAAAGAGATACAAACTAGATCCATCCTGTTAAATTTAAGTTTAGAACATAGTTTTTATGATTATTTCTTTTTCATATAAGTTTCCGTAATGTTTAGAATAAATATCAGAAGAAATGCGTAGTTTTTTTACTTTAGTTCTTTAGTAATTTAGTTTCAGAGAACTGCATTATTCACACGGTATCTGTTTATATGTTCCCAAGATAAGGTCTTATAATAAGACAAGTCGGTTAGGAAAATACATATGACTTAAGTGACTTATAGCTGAAAAAAACTGAAGCTGAAGCTATCAGTTAAAGAAAATAGAAGCAAGTAATTCTCGTAACAATCTCCAGAGGAACATAGACCAACCTTCTAGTTGTACATCTAGAGAAGCAACAGGTCAGGCAAGGCAGTTTGCTTTTCACTTTCCTCAACGTTTCTATGTCTAAAATCCAAATGAAATGATATCAGCTAGTAGCGTTATTCTGCCAATATTCACTTTTCAGTCTTTTCATGGTTTTGATTTTAAGGTGAAGGGCTTAAAAGCTTTAATTGTCGTTTGGGTATCAATCAAAAATAAAGTATTGCTTTTAGTTTGGTTGTCTTGGAGAAGGTATTAAGAGTTTGTATGAAAAATCTTAGCACAAAGAATATTATTTGTTGTTTAACTGAATTTTCTTTGTAGATCTAATATATCTAATAAAGGCCTCTTAGCAATTTACTAAATTAATCATATACAACAAGTTTTTTATACAGAAATCCATTTACTAATAATAATAATTGGTAATACAATCATTTTTAATAATTTAAATATTTTAATTTAATTAATTATGTTCGTTATCGTTTAATTTAATTATTGTTATTTTACAAATTTTTAATTATCATAATTGATAAATTATTTCTTTTTATAAGCCAATTAAATTGATTAACTATTTTTAATGATACAATTTTGTAATCAAAATGAATAAATAATCTCCAATTATATGAAAGAGGCTATAAATATTTATTTTTGATATTGAGTCAATTTTTTATTGTATAACATATTAATTAAAAAATTATCTACATTTTTATTATAACATAAAATTTATAATTTGTTTTAATGTTAAGTAACTTTATGAACTTTATTTGCCTGCCTGTATATGAGGTAATATGGGAAATATTCGATTAATTTTTAAGTTAATCTAAGTAAAATTTGCACGGAGACTTTTTGCGAATATACTAATAAGATGAAATTATAAATGATTGAAGATGAATTATTTTGGTGGTTATACAAAACAAATAGCAATAGGGTTTTTATTTTTATACATTATAATTTATAAATTAAGTTGGTATTACTATACACTTCGACTTCAACTGCTGTTAACCCCATATGTATTAAATAATCATTAGACTTTTAATAAATATTAGCGCATCTGATGGTTTTGTTTTGATCGATATGTTATCAGGAAAAACACGTATGTTTCCCAGGTGAATACGTCCGCTACTGCTCACTTTAGTGCATTCGCAGATATTGTGCTCAGACATTTCTGTATCCATTTCTAAAATAGACAAATACTGATCGTAGAAAACTGATTTTATGGAGTCTGCTTTGCGTAAGGAATCCATTGGAGACTGCTTTAGATACATTGATAAATATCTTAGCTTGTCTTTGGTCTTCATAGCTCTCTCTATAGTTTTTGAATTTAAAGTCTTTCTAGATCTGAGTATGTTTACTAAGTCCTTTCGATAAAACTGCAGAATCGATCCGATGCAATAAATTGAAGTTAAATTCTTCATTTGTCTAGATAATCAGTGGTTTCGTTGCCTTCGTGACTTTTTTGTCTTGCGCCCGAACAAAAAATATCGTGGTTGCTTTGTTTCAGCTCGTTGAGAAGTGTTAAGAAGTTGTCCAACATAGATGAACAAATTTTGACCGAACTTAAAGACAATAACGCCGCTAAGCTATCGGATATAATGATGTTTATTGATCTAATTGTCTTTCTTTCAGACATTCGCATAACACAGGTTTTGATGGTAAATTTTTAAATATAGTTGAATATCAACTTTTTGAAAAGAAAGTCCTAGTATGTCTGCCGCTGTTTTATTTTACCCACGTTTGGTTCAATTTTGGTATCATTTGTGAACCCTTACTTATTTGATTCAGATTTTCCACCAAATTTTTTTGATTATGAAGGTTCAACTTCAATTTGTTTACAAAACTGTTTATTTTTGGAATAGTATGAGGAATCTTAAGATATGGATCATCAAATACTCTGTATAGTGAATTTAACCGATTGACGGCAAATGCCATAATCGTATAAGGATAAAATTAGATATTATGTAAATGAAGTTAGGTTTTTCTTATTAGTTTTCTTATAATTATTTATAATATTTATGTTTTATATATTATAAATTATTGAAAATGTTAATTTTGTAAATGTAAATATAACCTAAATTTAATAAAAGAAATACTACTACTAGTGAATTTAAGTGACCCTGTTTATTTTCTCTCCTCATCTTACTAATGTTTTAGAGTTAAACTACAGCAGGATATGGTTTTTTTGAATAGTAATTGAAATGACTGCAATAAAGCCCAATATATCGGTAGGTCTGATTTTTTTGGCCCTTGTGAAACTTCCACTTATTAGACTATGCAATTTCAGTCATATCAGTCTAATATACATAAAATGTGTTCAAGCAGTTTCAAATGGAATGCAGTAAAAAAGTTCAACTCAAATTATGTGACGCCTTAGACATTTTAGACCTTTCGAAAAAGATTGAAAAGCTCTATCATAACTCGCATAAACGGAGAAGGGCGTTCTCAAAAAGAACAGCAGCAGTGTAATAACTGCAACGATGACAAATGAATACATATAGGCTGAAAAATGTAGTCAATTGATGAAATATAGACGAAAAATTGATGTTTGAGCTATGTGCTCCGGACGACCTCTTGACGAAATACCTAATCGGTGATCCCGAGAAGTCAAACTGTCGTCGGACATTGGTGTGATATTAATGAATTGAAGTTTCACATTGATTGGGCTTTCGGAAGCAAAAAAAAGTCGTATCACGAGTAATAGCTTCCGATGTTTGATGTTTGCCCTTTGGACAGCAAATAAATGCTGCATATGTGATTATTGGTCTGATTATTGTTATAAAATGCCTGTGTCATTATGATTTTATAAATACAAACATTGTATACTAAAGTTTACTGAGAAAAACTAAATAGATTTATAGTAAAATCTGTGTATAACGTACAGATATTTTGCAAAAGTAAAAAAATATTTTTTGCAGTAACTTAATTTAAATGTTTATTTATGTTATATGGGTGTACGTTTGTCGTCCTTAAACAATGAGTTGAGTTTAGTTGAGTCTGTGTTTATAAAACCGAGAAAGGCACAAACTATAATTTTTTGCCTGTTA